GAATTTGTCAGATATTTGCCCAGAACACAGGAATCTGAGTGAAGCTGAAGATAAGCTGGAGGGTCGGATTCATCATCATCAGACCGTCACACTGTTCCTTCATGTGCTCCAGTAAAGCCGCCTGTTAAAAGGCCTCTACTGGTTTCTGTATCTGCCAGCAGAGGACAATCCACCACCTCTTCTCTCGCCTTTATTTCCACTGTAGTCTTTGCCAAAAAGTGATCCAGTCTCTTCGTCCCTCGCTCTCTTTCCTGTTCCAGACACCAGGTGAGGTTGAATTTCAGCGCTAAGTCCTGATGAAAGCCCAGAGAATTAACGCCCAGTGTCTTTGGTGGCCATAACTCTGTGTCTCATTCTGAGCTGAGCAGGTTCTGATCCAACAGTACCAGTCAGCTGTCAGTGTGGAAATGAGCAAGAGGCCAAGGTTGATATCTACTGCACAGTCTGGAAGGAGGTAGACATTTATAATAGCTGTTTGTACTGCAGGGCGTGCAGTGCTGTACTTGGTGCTGTACTTCTCTTCTTTCTTTTTCTTTGTACTACATATATATAGAGTTGAACCCAGAGGTGTACATCCACTGTACAGCGTTTCCTCTGGATGTTTTCCAGCAGCGGGGGCAGCAGGCTCTCCAGGAGCCGTGGCAGCATAAACAAATGACATCTGACTGCAGATTTTACTTTTACAACCTATTCATTGAATGGCCAGCTGAAAATGGCTTTTTAAAGGCTGAATGTAAATGAAAAAATAAAATAAAATGTAATTAAGTAAATAAAAATAAAGACAATAAATAATAATTTCTTGATGGGGCTGAAGAATCAGTGGCAAAGTCTGCACTCAGGCTCAGAACAATTCATTTCTCTGGGTGTTTTATAGAAGAGCTCTGAGGCTCTGTTGGAGGGAAATTCTGTGAGAGGCTCAGCAGCATCCAGGCTGCAGCTGATCCCCTGCAGCCTGGTCCACAACATTCCTACCAGGACAGAGTACAGTGGCATCATCGCTGCTACAATGGAAATACACTGAATTTATTTTATTTTTTATTTATTTAACAGAAATACTGACATGTATATTATGCAAATAATAAGCAAGGAATTAAAGGTTCATGCACACTCCCCACTGTCAGTGTGGTTGAGCCTTGAGTGGAAGCAGCTGTTTCTTTCAGCCCATCCTGAAGCCTGAGCTCCCCTTTAGGTTCTCCTCCTCTACTCTCATCTCTCTCCTGCTCCTCCACTTTGCTCCACTGCTCCTCCCTGTCTGATGTTACTGGTCTTATACGCTAAACATTAACGTTACATCATTTACACTCACATCACATCTGATTACAGTGTGATCACTATTTTCTACCTGATCACCATCATTTATGAGTCAGTAAAAGGCTAATGCTACCTGGCTAGCGTCATCTTCATCAGGTGTCTTTCTCTTCTTACAGCAATATGTGAACAAGCTCATCTGAAGATGCAGTTCCATCATGGCGTGTAGATGTTAGCTCAATGCTATCAGACAGTTTACTCACGTTAGCGACACTGAGTTGGCACCGGGCCCAAACTAAAAACCCTTAACCCCAAACCCTTAACTTAAGCCACCGATATGTTACGTAATGTTAGCGGGCCATCAATGTTTTGCGAAAGTCTATTTAACTTGTAAAATCTATTCTGAGTTACCATAAGCTAAAACGTCTACCTTTCCTCTGGTAAATCGCCGCTCGATTCTCTAAGAGGACCCTCCTCTGACCTGGAGCCCGGTGCTGGACAGGACGTCACTTTCAAGGCCGTGCTCTCGCGAATAATTAACGTTGCATTAGCCTCCCAAAGAGTAGAAACTGAACAAAATAGTTATCCGCAGTCAACCGTAGTAGTCGCGATTAATTGACGTCATATAAATCCCCAAAGAGTAGTTACTGAGCAAGATAGTTATCCGCAGTCAACCTTAGCAGTCGCGAGTAATTGACGTCATGTTAACCCCCAAAGAGTAGATACTGAGCAAGATAGTTATCCGCGGTCAACCTTAGCAGTCGCGAGTAATTGACGTCATATTAACCCCCAAAGAGTAAATACGGAGCAAGATAGTTATCCGTATATATATAGCCTTAGTGGCGCGATTAATTGACGTCATATTAACCCCAAAGAGTAGATACTGAGCAAGATAGTTATCCGCAGTCAACCTTAGTAGTCGCGAGTAATTGACGTCATATTAACCCCCAAAGAGTAGATACTGAGCAAGATAGTTATCCGCAGTCAACCTTAGTAGTCGCGAGTAATTGACGTCATATTAACCCCCAAAGAGTAGATACTGAGCAAGATAGTTATCCGCAGT